TGACAATGACAGTGACAGTGACAATGACAGTGACAATGGCAATAACAGTGCTGTGACAGTGACAATGACAGTGACAATGGCAATAACAGTGCTGTGACAGTGACAATGACAGTGACAATGGCAATAACAGTGCTGTGACAGTGACAATGACAGTGACAATGGCAATAACAGTGCTGTGACAGTGACAATGACAGTGACAATGGCAATAACAGTGCTGTGACAGTGACAATGACAGTGACAATGACAGTGACAATAACAGTGACAGTGTAATGTCAGTGACAGTGACAATGACAGTGACAGTGCAATGGCAATGCAATGACAGTGACAGTGACAGTGACAATAGCAGTGGCAGTGGCAGTGACAGTGACAGTGACAATGACAGTGACAATAGCAGTGGCTGTGACAGTGTAATGTCAGTGACAGTGACAATGACAATAACAGCGACGGTGACGTTGACAGTGACATTGACAATGGCGGTGGCAGTGACAGTGACAGTGACAATGACATTGATAACGACAACGACAGTGACAACAACGTTGACAGTGACAGTGACAATAACAATTACAGTGACAATGAGTGACAATGACAACGAAATCAACACTGATAATGACACTGACAGTGACAGTGACATTGACGCTGACAGTGACAATGACGCTGACAGTGACAATGACACTGACAGTGACATTGATGCTGACAGTGACACTGACAGTGACAATAACATTGATAATGACAGTGTCAGTGACAATGACACTGACACTGACAGTGACACTGACCGTGACAATGACAGTGACAGTGACAATAACAATTACAGTGACAATGATAGTGACAATGATAACGAAATCAACACCGATAATGGCACTGACAGTGACAGTGACATTGACACTGACAGTGACACTGACGGTGACACTGACAGTGACAATGACAGTGCAGTGACAGTGACAGTGCCACCCCTGTCCCCAGGTGACGTTTGACAACAGCGCCCACAGCGGGCGGGTGCGGATCCGCCTGGACACGCACGCGGCCATCCGGGAGTGCCACCACCCCTCGCTGCCCGGCAGAGGTGACAGCGGGTGACAATGGGTGACAACGGGCTGGGGGGCTGTCCCTGGGAGTGCCACCACCCTGCCACACCCAGCAGAGGTGACAGTGGGCACCTGTCCCTGGCAGGTGACAACAGGCCGGGGGATGCCACCTGTCCCCTGTCCCTTGGGAGTGTCCCCTGTCCCTGATGTGCCCCTGTCCCCGAGGTGTCCCCTGTCCCTGAGGGGACACGAGATCCCTGGGTGTCCCCTGTCCCCGAGGTGTCCCCTGTCCCTGAGGGGACACGAGATCCCTGGGTGTCCCCTGTCCCTGTGGTGTCCCCTGTCCCTGATGTGCCCCTGTCCCTGAGGGGACACGAGTCCCTGAGGGGACACGAGATCCCTGGGTGTCCCCTGTCCCCATGGTGTCCCCTGTCCCTGAGGGGACACGAGATCCCTGGGTGTCCCCTGTCCCCGAGGTGTCCCCTGTCCCTGATGTGCCCCTGTCCCCGAGGTGTCCCCTGTCCCTGAGGGGACACGAGATCCGAGGTGTCCCCTGTCCCTGAGGGGACACGAGATCCCTGGGTGTCCCCTGTCCCCATGGTGTCCCCTGTCCCTGAGGGGACACGAGATCCCTGGGTGTCCCCTGTCCCCGAGGTGTCCCCTGTCCCTGATGTGCCCCTGTCCCCGAGGTGTCCCCTGTCCCTGATGTGCCCCTGTCCCCGAGGTGTCCCCTGTCCCTGAGGGGACAC